AAGCGTCGCTAGATCTGGTTTCTCTTACTAGACAAGTCGATCGGTTCGTCATACTTGATCAGACAATTCAGCTCAAAGTATTTTTATACTAGAGGTGTTTGGTGGGTATTATGCGTTGTGGAATAGATTTAACCCCGCAGCCACTTAGACACCCCACACGGCCATCAGATTTGATCAGAACTCTATGTACGTAACTTCTTACGTGAGTAGTCTATGCAGTTCACTTAATTGTTTTAATGACTTTAAATGCACAGCACTGCCTTTACAAGTGAAAAATACCACAACCAAAAAAAAAAAGCACTAATGTGTGTGTGTGTGTGTGCGCGCGCGTGTATATATATATTATCAGGTTATCTCCACAGACGGTATAAAATGAAATTGTTTTACATATTCATAATTGGGTTACTTCATTAAATCTGTTTGGCTTTAATGTTTTTAGCGCATAATTCAATTTTCAGTAGCTTATATAAAACATTACACCCAATATATCTAAACATGGTTAATACAGACCTCTGTAATTTTTTCAAGAGCTTTTTTTTTCAAATTTTGAAGGAACAGTTGCCATGCCGATTTCATATGTTTACCACACTAAATGCAACTACATATAATAATAATAATAATAGAATCACATTCTAACTTTATCTTAAGATACTATCAAGTTTCAGTAAAACTTTGTTCACTTAGCCATGATGCTTCATACATATGATATAATGGTAAAACCTATGATACTTTATCCTACTAACGTTTGTTTTCGTTAAACCTGTTTTTGTACATATGATATAATGGTAAAACCTATGATACTTTATCCTACTAACGTTTGTTTTCGTTAAACCTGTTTTTGTACATATGATATAATGGTAAAATCTATGATACTTTATCCTACTAACGTTTGTTTTCGTTAAACCTGTTTTTGTACATATGATATAATGGTAAAATCTATGATACTTTATCCTACTAACGTTTGTTTTCGTTAAACCTGTTTTTGTACATATGATATAATGATAAAATCTATGATACTTTATCCTACTAACGTTTGTTGTTATTAAACCTGTTTTTGTAGAAAACAATCAATTAAACAAAGAAAATAACTTTCGAGTGAAATTTAAGAAATTTTAAACTGTTCGATGCCTCTTTAATGCAATTCAAGTTTGTTTGTTTGTTGTTTTTTCAAAACTCCAGGACAAAAAAGCCACTTTGACTAAATTCAATTTTCAAGGACACTGTTAAATCCTGGAAGAACCATGTTAAACCTAGGTCAGCCATATGTAGGTTTGTTTGTCTATCTGTTTCTGATATTCCTGCAAAACTAGACAAGTGCTATCTGCGCTACCGCCCGTAATTTTGAACTGATAGTTTGGAGGGAAGGCAGCTAGTCAACAGCACTTAACTCCTAGGTTACCGCCAACTCTAATCAAATACGAGATTTTCCGTCAGTCCTAAAACACACCTACGGCGTGATTTTTTTTTTTTTTTTTTGCATCAATGTGATGTGAATCAGGGATACTCGAATACACAGACCGTCACGTTAACAACTCGCCCAGCCTATCTACGTAGGAAGAGAGCCAATTATACATTTAATAGTGTTCGATGTACTATTTAGTACACTTATACATGTATATAAAAATCACGTGTTAATTTTACTCGCTCACAGCTGTAATTGCGAGAACAATTAATTAAGACACGATGAAATAGGCATGTGAATATAAAGTTATAAAATTCAAGGCTTAAAAAATTAACCAATGTGATACATTATGTATTGACATCAGTTCTGATTAATGACTTAACAACGAATCTCCAAACCAACCAGACCACATACGGTATTTCACTTCTGGTAAGCACACATCCGGTATTTCTTAAACTCTTTCGCAATTTTTGAGAAATATGCAATGTCATGTGACGAATCCAACGGTATTTGTCAACCCCCCAAAGTGAAAAAAACTGGAGATACAAATATTTTCTTTTTCGTTTTGGTAGACAGTTAATTTGTGACTAAAGTTTACCTGAGGTCAGGTGTTATTGTAATACAATACCTACAGAGATTCTCGTGAAGATAGTAGTCATACGGAACTGAAAGGATAACCAGACTATCTGTGAGCATTGCGCACATCTCAGATGACAGGTGTCTGAAGCATCAGATTCAGAGCTAACTTGTAAGGTAACAAAATACTTGACGTGCTACCAGTGCAACAAATACGGATGCGATCATGATATGATACGAGTTGCAGAGAAAGCAAGCTGTAAAAGAAGCCAGCAAATATTTTTTTTTGTTTGAGTAAATAAAAATGTCAAATAGCCGAAGAGCGGTTAGAGAAAACGTGGACAGCCCAGGCCAGAGCGGTGAATGTGGTTACTTTTGGAGAGAAAGAAATTACTATGACCACCATATCAATAGGAATAGCCGAAACAAGACTTCTCAGATCAAGCCCTACAGGTTCCTATATCTAATTCCAACTTAATGGATTTCGCATTGCCCTTTTTTATTACCAAAAAAAATTACACAATTGGTTCGGTTGACTTAAGAGATTCGTGATTAAAGTAATTATGAATCATTTTTTTTTCAAAAATTTCAAAGTTGCATCTATCTGTCGTGAGGAATTTCAAATAATTGTTATCAAATGTACAGCATTTCGGAAAATAGAAAAACATTTTAGTTAAAAAAAACAAAAAAAAGTTTTTTGCAGAACTCACTGAAGACAGTTACTCCAGAGGCTTAAAATTTCTATACTTATGAAGTATAACTCGTTACACTGTCGGACCACTACATCATGATCCTCACAAACTTTGCTTGAACTAAACGTGGTATAGACTTCATAGGGTGTCTTGTTTGAATATAACTCATTCGTTAAGAAGTAATATCTGCGATTATTTTACATATGTTATCAGATTCCAGTAGCGAATACGACGTTCAAGTTAATGCCAAAGAAAGTTGAATGAAGTAGCTGTCGCATATAGTCCAAATTAATTTGGAAGAATACGAGAGTATTGGATGGTTGCAATTATATCCTGGAAGAGTCTTTATCCATCATGATGTAATTGCAGTACTGTGGGGTGAATATTACTGGCGACGACCACTGAAGCCAAGCTTTATTATTTGGATCTGTAATATTTAATATTCGGACTAGCTGTCGGTTTAGCACGGTACGGTTCGAGACAGTCTAATACTCATCACTGACGAAAGAGTCAGTCGACTACGACACAGACTAGAGCTTGTTGCACTTGACAAGCATATTTAATCTACTTTCCACCCCTTCGTCTGTCACAAGCGGCTGACAGCTGACATTTTTCTTCGTGGTCGTTTGCCACTGTTGACATATTCTGATGATGGAAGTCTTTGAACAGCTATTTGAAGAAACACTATTTGATAACAACCGAATAGCTGGATTCACTGTCACTTTTATAACGCATCCACAGATAAGAGTGTAGAACGTGTTCTGATGCATATCGCGAGCTCCATGTTTAAGCCATGCGCAATGCTCCCCAGCTAACCACTCGGCCAAAACCCGACAAGGAAATGACGTATTCTACAAATAACCGTGGGTGGATCATAATAAAGTGGCTAGCCATTGTATAAGAGCAGTTTAAAAAGCTTGGTAAATATATATTACAGACATGAACGTTTGTATCTTTATATTTCTTACAGTGAGCAGAGTTTATATATTTTTTGCTTATTCTATAACTATCATTAGTATACAGAATGGTCGGAATTTGGGTTTCTGGTTAATAGTACGAAAAAAAAAAGAAATGAAAATTAACAAATATATATCTGCTTTTACATTTTCATATTTTTGAACGTTACGTAACATTACAATAAATAGCTTTGCCTGGTGTAATCGTCCTCAGTTGTTTTATTGTTAGCTATATAGGAGGTGGGGCTTTATGCTTAATATTGGTAGTGAGTGTAAAAACTTAAGTGGCTTTAAGCAATTTTGCAATTCGCGACATACAAAAAAAAATTATTTGAGTTGCTGTTGTTGTTTTAGCGTAAAACTACAAAATTATCTACCTGCTTTTTTTGTTCGACGCGGGGAGTCGAACCCCAGATTTTAAGTCTCTAAATCCATAAATTTGCCACTAACTACAAAATGGGATATCTGCTTTCTGTTCAACGCAGGGAATCGAATACCGGATTTTAGCTCTATAAATCCGTAATTTTGGGAAAATTTCCACATAATTGCTTTCATGCTACTAAGCCACAGGAGGAGGGGGGGGGGGAGATAGGCCCAAAAATGACAAATCATCCGCATATTCAGCAACTTAAAACTATTTGTAGACAACTCACGAAACTTTCTACAATTAGATATAATTGAGGTCTTACGGATAAACGATGTGCTTGTTTTATAATTCTTGTAAGAGAAAAAAATGTCATTTCTTAGAATAATACAGTTTAATCACTCCTGAATATTACACATATCTAAGAGCAACTGAGAAAGATGAAAGACGCGTGTACTAACAAAGTAAAATGTGGGCATAAAAAAAGGTTCTGTGTGTTATTACAATTCTGAAAAAATAAATAAAATAGGAAATGTTTATAATATTTATAACCAGTGTTTATAAAACTTACAAAAAGGCTTAAATATCGTAAAGATTGCTCACTCAAATGCTACAACAATAGCTTTGTGTTCGTGGAGATTATGTTTATATTACTACGAAGTTACGAAAAAAGTATCCTTTTCCACTGATGTATTAATATTAGTTTGTTTGTTTGAAGTTAAGCACAAAGCTACACAATGGGCTGTCTGTGTTCTGCCCACCACGAGTATCGAAACCCGGTTTCTGGCTCTGTAAGTCCGCAGACATATCGCGGTGCCACTGGAGGGGGGCATAATATTACAGAAAAAAAATAAAATTATATTCTAAATTTCAGTACAAAATAAACTTTTACTCAACAGAAACTGGTGTTTAATTAAACGTAATCAACAACTTTGAAGTAGGAATAACTTTTAATATTTAATTAACGACGTTTCGACCCACAGGAGAGAGTATTCATTGGCGTATACGCGCTTACAGTTGAACAGTGCTTTCATAATTCAAATTACAACAACATATTAGCATATGAACATTTACAAGCAGTTATCATAAGTGGTGTTAGAATTTATTATTGATACAAGCTGAAATACCAGTCAACTGAAGGGGAATGTTTAAACTTAATTAAAACAATGTGAGTTTAACAGCAATCATATATTTCAAAGTAATAACTTGAACATAAACTTTATCTCAAAATTTTAAAATTATAACAAAGCTTCTTCATAAACAACATTTGTAGTTTGCATTCCATCTACCAACAAATAAATATTTTGAGGTGACTGCACCCTTGAACACCCTACATCTCATTGACCATGATACATACATGGTTGTTTGAGAAACAATCCAGCAACTTTCATACTTTGACCTTGAATCCCTTTAGAATATTCAACATTGTCTAAAGCGTCAACCTGTCAAGATTGCTTGAGATTAACTCAACAGGCTGGGAGTAATTAACCAAAAGGCTTTACAAAATAAAAATAGGGTTAAGTTCAATTTTGACCCCCTTTGGACATTCCCCATACCAACAAAGATTAGTTGAGATTGTCCCAATAGGTTCGGAGGAGTTAGGGTGCAAACAAACATAAATTTCGTCTTTATATGTAGAGATTAAATGGTTAAGAACGAAAATTACGATGAGTTTCTTCTTCTTCTTTCTTTTTTTTTTGAGTTGAAATTAAATTCCTCTCGTTGAAAAATTCTGTGAAATCTTAACAATCTATGGAAACAAGTATTCAAAAAAGGTTTTTTAATTATACAAAAACCAGAATTAAAAATCAAAAATATTGTTCTAAAAACATCCTACGGAGAGATAAAAGTAATTTATGAAAAGCTTAAGTAAAGTTAATATAATCATTCTTACGTAGAAGAAATGAGGAGAGACAAACATCAGAGGCCCCCAGTGGTTCAGCAGTAAATCTGAGGGCTTATAACGCAAACAATTCGGGTTTCGATACTCGTATTCAACAGAATACATATAGCCTACTATGTAGGTTTGTGCTTACCAACAAATAATGGCACATCAGGCTAAAAAAATTGAGAAACTGCCATTAACCCACGGAAAATAGCAAACAATAATCAGATATAACTAGATAATAATCCACCTACTTCTATGGCTCGAAACTTTGTTAATAAAATATTAAATTATATCCGAATTAAAAAAACTGCTTATTACTTTTCATTAATGTGCTCAGTAGGACTCTCAATTTAGTTATTAAGTTGCTGTTTATGACAAATATTCTATTAGGCAATTGAAGGTCAAACCTCCGAAGGAACCGCCAAGCATACATAATAACGGACTGTGTGTAAAGAAGATTTCGGTACGTGCGGATTTTATAATTTACTCTAAAGCATTAAAAAGCAAGTATGCATTAGATATTTCATAAAACCAAAGAATTAATCTCCATACCCCGAGAACCTTCGGTAGTATTTGTTTTGGATATTACTCACTGCAACTGCAAATAAACATGCTAATTATCAGGACATTCATGACTTTTAAAGTTTTTCATTTCACTATCAGTGCAAGCTTCATATAAAAGCAACTACTCGCAAGTGCTCATGGTGTTATATTTATCAGCGCTAAGGAAAACACAGTAGAATAGTATTTTAATGTAAAATGATTGAGTTAAAACTGATTGACATTTTATTTCATTGCATATATTATACAGGCTTTATTTAAGTAATAATATTCCAAACATTTCTGAAAGACTAAAACGACTACTCGCTAACAACTGATTCGCCCTGTTGTACCTTATCATATTTACAGATTAAACGTAATCTGTCCGTACAAGTGTGAATATGATATAAAATTTCAATTACTGTGGTAACATAGTGTTCTAGCTAATGCTTTTTCTTATTTTTTTCTGAATTTAAAATTGCTTTGTTGGCGAAAGGTTAGTGTTTCATGTGTACTTGAGTGTACTAGTATACGTCTAAGAAACCTCCATTTCCACAAATTTCAACATATCTACTGCGGGTTTTATTGACCTGCTTTATTATTATTTTATGCCTCATGACGAAGGAAAGGAGAAGATTTTCATAATACAGACTTTGATTTGATTGACAATTCTGGTAGGGATTGTTGACTTGTGATACAACAGAACAGCTACGATAAAATGAACGCTAATTGAGAAAGGGCTCTAAAAATTTATTTACCATCACTTTTTATGCTATAATGCAGCTACGAAATATATTATCATTTCGTGATAGAATTTATTTAAAAAGCTGATATAATGTAGGTTATGAATCATTCAGCAACTGCAGTTCTATTTTTCCCGCTGATTTTAGTTATTTAGTTATTTTTAAGTATAGTGTATGGATGATACGAAACGCGAACCGTTGATAACAAAGTATCATTAATCACAACGACTGCTGAAGAGGCGATAAACGAAACTGCAGACGACCACATACCCTGGTTATTTTGGTCTTGCATTTCTGAAATGCGTTTAAAAACAATTTTCAGTATCATAGATATTATACTTTAACTGGATTTTGTTTTAAAGTTTCACACATTTATTTGATAAATTTATCTTAGGGAAATGCATCAGTCGATGGGTTTAAAGTGACCAAATTTATGAAGTTTGTTTAGCCAAGTTATTCACCGTCGGAGCGCAAAATACAAAAAGTAGTTCAAAGCCTCTTACGAAGTTAGGTCTTTCGTTTTGCATAACAATATCCTAATTACACGTGATTCACTCCATTATTATTCTGCGACTTTGAATGTCCTTTTATTCAAATAATGAAAGCACGAGCTTTGGTCTTTAAATGACTACTACTGTAAGAATACCAATTGCACTATCTTGATTGGGAGGAAAGCTTTTGCATTCAATTTCGAATCTTATTCCATGTGTTAATAATAATAATAATATGAAGAAAATAAACACAAAAAACCGCAAGGTCCAACCTCAAAAACTAAATGTCGGTCAAAAAAAAAAGGTTAAGTAGTTAAGGTCGCCGTTTGATGACAAATTCTTGAAAAAAAAAAAAATCACGAAATTATCAAAATTGTGGTTCTTACAGAAAATAAGATACTAAGACGGTTACTGTAGTTATTTCTACGAAAGGTAATCGGTGGCCGGAAATAATGAAACAGGTAAAAAGATCATAATTTTTTAAATACTCAAACACAATGTAAAGTAATACAACAAAACACATTTGCAAGTTATTTATTGCAATAATATCATAATGCGTGATATGTAAAATTATATTAAAAGCTGGTAACAAAAAGCTCACCTACCGCCATTATTTTGGCCGCTACTTCTTCGTACAAAGTCACTCTGACCATTGCACAGTGTATACTTTTAAGTATATACACATTGAGTTCTTAAAGCTTATATAAAACTTGTGGTGAGGTAATAATAAGTACTGTAATAATATGTTATGTTACAAATCAATTATGTGAAAGTTTGGGTTTTTGTGTTATTTATCATTGCATCCATCCACACATTTTTTTAACTTTATAACCCAGACAAAGGACAGGTATCTCAGCTTGTAATAAATAAACAGCAAAACATAACAGAGTAACACTAACAGTTCGATTAGAAAATAAATTAGGACCTTCAACTATAACCAATAG